AAGAGTGGTGCTCCACATCCCTCTGTTGAAGGTATGCCACATTAAGTGAAAATACAAAACCGATAGGACAGGAAACACAAGAAGGAGCTTGACATGCCTGCAGATGCGCCCATACAGGGACGTGGGTTCTCAGACTCAAGTCAGGTTTTCCTACCTATGCTGTTCTTTCCGAGGCAAGCAATTGCACCCTGTGTGCATCTGATCCAACGCTTCCTTGGTTGTTTTAAACACATTTGGCATCCAATCCTCCAAGTCAGTTTGGATCTCTGCCATATTTCATAACGGATGTTTTGGTTTAAAAGAAACAGGTAAAACAAGTAGAAGGAAAACACTGACAGTGTGTTGATTGTCCCAACTACTTCAATAGTGAGTGAACTTCACGTTTCAATTGCGTGCTTCTTGGTTGCTCTTGTACTTTATTTTTAAGGTTAGAACCCACTAAACAGAGTTTATCCAAGTCTCCCATTAGATGAGCACAGAGTTAGGACTTTTTTCCCCTAGACCTCTATGTAGATAAACTATGTTAATGACACTTAGGGCTTACACTTCAAATGTATCAGAGTTAAAAGCATACTCATGATTCTCAGGGTATTGTGCCTATGTTGCACAATACAGGTCTAGGTATTGTATAACGTATTAATTCAAGTACAAAGGCCTGAGCTGTTTTTACAGCAGGGTCATAAATTTAAATTCAACGTCTCTTTTAAGTAACTCAAAACCTTCACTTTAGTGGAGAATGGAAATGGTTTGGTTTGTGGCTGTGATTCTTCATACCTTACATTTTTATGTAATAGCTTGATTTCTACTCCACTGTCAGAGAAAGTGCCATCGCTTCATTAGTAACCACACAACAAACAGTGCCTGGTTGTATTATGTGTTCAATTATGCTTACTATTCAGTTAAGGTTGCAAGTACGCTAGTCACTACTAATTTCTCGCCTTAGGCAAAATAGCAGACAAATGAAAAGCCTGTTCTCCAAACCAATAACTTAGATGGATTAATTGGGAAACAGATGCCTGCAGTAGAAGACAACTGTATCTCTGTCCATAAGTCCCTGCCCCAAACGCGTGTAGCTGTGACTGGTATCCTTGTTACCAGGCTAAGAATCAGCAATACAAAAACTTTTCCCCTGTAAAACGTCTTGCTAATTTTTAGAAACACAAATCTTCCTGCTTCTGGAGCATCTATAACAGCATCTCCTAGGAAAGTAAATAACCTTAAAGTCCTTTGGGAATGATAGCTAGAAAATTACTGCCAGTGTGGCCTTCCTTAAGTTTCTCTGGATTTCTATTGGTCTTTATCATGTAGCAGATAATCCAGAAGTTTCATGAAGTGAGGAAGGCAATAAGGTATTTTGAATTAGCAGAGTATTTAGGAATTTGTGCTCGAGAACAGAAGCCAAATTGCCTGTACCGAGTTACTTGTTGACCATAAAAGTGCGGGTATGCCTAACTGGCTTGCTCATGAGTTTCAGTTTAGAAAGCATTTTTCCAGGCATCTGAGATCTTGTTACGTCATCCCGCTAACGCAACCTCTCGTTTCATGCCCTTGCTGGTGTAGACTCCATTGGCCTGCACCGTGTGGAGAACATAAGCCACACAGAGCCTGCTGTTAGCCTGCATTTGTACAGCCCACCCTTCGACAGCTGTAACACCTTTGATCAGAGGACTGGACACAAGCACAAAGTCAAGATGACCTTCTACAGCCAGTTTGGAGAAAGGACTCTCTGCGTAAGTATGAGAGCCTGGCCACGGGCCCTGTGGGGACAGGGACGAGGGGCTGCCCTCTTGCCCATGCAGGGCAGAGCGCCGGTGTCCCAGGACAGGCAAGAGGTCCAGCAGCCCCACCTTTCCTGGGGCATCCCCCTCTAGGGCCAGCATAAAACCCGTTTCCAAATACCACTCCATTTGTTGGTTTGTGCTTCCCTCCTGTGGAGTTCCGTGCTTTGTAGCTTGCCTCCCCTTCATCAGCAGGAGACCAGTTCCCAGCAGAGGGGAGGACTAATGAGAACTGTGCTACTAGCTAAGCGTCTTCAGGCAGCAAACGATGGTAAATGCAACCTAGTCAATGGAAACCGGTGAAGCAGCTACATTGTTTTGACCAGCTTAAGTCATGTGTAACATTTCCTGCCTAAATTGTTCTGCCAAAAAGCATCATATTTCAAGTCAGTTGTTTTAAACCTCACAGCTTACTGTAAAGAATTCTTTAAGGAAGTTAATTTAATTCTTTAAAATCAAAACTTTGACACAAAGTTTTGCTCTGAGAGTGAGAGTAGGCTGGTTGGCTGTTGTCTGCCTTCTTTAGCAATGGCATGAGATTTCATTTGGATAGAAAAGAAATCTTACGATGAGCTTTGGGGGACCAAGCTAGGACATCTGGGAGAGTTTAATAGGGTTCCTTTAAGTGCTCTTCCATGCATTGGGAAACAGAACTACTTATACGGGCAGCAAAGACAGACAGATTCTTGATGTTCAGCCACAGAGGTTCCAAAACTGTTTAGTTCTGTTAGACACAGAACACTTTCACCTTTCACTGAAGCCAGAAATCCAGTGCTCAGGAACTTCCTGGAGTGAGCCCTTCATAAGATCCAGTTAGATTTTTATATAATTGACAAGTTCCATGTAAATTGTTTCTCTGAAGCTTGTCACACTAAATGATTACAAATTTACCAAACAGCTGAAACACAAACTTTGACCTTCCTGAGTTTGAAAGGTCCCTGAGAAAGTAAACTCAAATTTATAATTCAGATTTTAAAGGGAAATAAACATGGAAAAGTTGAACAAAATTCATGCACAAATTCAGTGTTTGCTTGCTTTCTTTTTAAGTGTTTATTGAATATGAAGTATGTAAGATAGCAAGAGTAGGTGTTTTGACCTGGACTGTTTCCTACCCTTGATTTGTAACCATCTGGCAGTGTTAGTACCTTTTGTGGGAAACTGGATCTGGCTTACAGGAGAGAGGTAAATCTTAATCATTGGGTCTCTTTCATGAATTCCTGTAAATGGAATTCCAGTAAGGGGGAAAGTGGTAAGGAGTTTGGGCCATCCAGCTGCCCAGAATGACTTCACACTGCAAAAACCTTCTGGTCTCAGTGAGGGTTTCTGGAAAGCTGACTGGAAAATCAGATTTTCTTCTGCTTACCAGATATCAAAAGGATGTAGGAACACAGAGAGCTATAAGTTAGAAACACCAGGAGAGTAATGTAAAGTATATTTGTGTATCTTTTATGAGTGAGATCTACCTAGCTAAAGCACATTCAGTGCTTCTTCTTTTTCTTAAAAATTTTCTGCAGGTAAAATACACGGGTAAATCCTTAGCAGTTTCTGGCCATTATGAAGTCTTAATTAACTACATCTCCAGTTACATATATATCTCAAGTTATATAGACCTAATAATAAAAATAGTATGTAGTATATCCAAGGACTTGCCCATGGAAGTAATTGTTTACACAGTTCGGGTACAGACCATGAGAATGCCGACGGGAAAGTCCACTGAGGGAAAACTGATTTTGTCTTGGGCATCACAGCATACCAGTTCCTGCTGCCAGGAATTTTACGGGGCAGGGGAGGAGGCTTCTCTTTGCAGCCTCTCTTCCAAGCTGGGCTTTCAAGCAGTTTCTGTCAAAACAAAGTAGAGCAGAGTATCGGGGAGAAAACACAGCCTGAAGGAGGAAGCCCTCCTCAGCTGCCCCTTCTTCTGTGGGCTTGCTGGGGTCACACGGAGCCAATGGATGGGACGATTTTGTCAGGTGCACAGGGCCCTCTGCAAAAGTCTGGCAAGGCGTGCTGAAAATAAATACACTACATATTTTAAGGTGCTAAGCTACTGCGGGAATAAAGGCCCATGCTGAGAACATGAACAGGGTGGTGACTCTCTCCTTCCTTAAAACAGCAACCTCTCCTCTTTCCTTTTAGGCAACAGCAGTGCCGCAGGAGAACAACTGAGAAGCACCAGCACACGTTTGCATAAGACCTGCTGAATGTTTAACCAGGGACAGAAGACTTGCATGGCTAAAGGCCAACAGCCAGCTATATTTCTATACCTTGTACATAGAAATACACTAGGGCAGCTTCCAGGCCACCCACAGTTCCCCTGAGAGAATGCCAATTACGGGACACTAAACTAACCAGTGCCATAAACTACTTCAGAGGTTAGATGCCTTTTCTTAGGCTCCTGTCAGAATTAAGTAGTTTGTTTTCTGATTCTAGCCTGCTCTTAATTCCACTTCTGATACCACACAGTAGTGTCAGAAATAGGGGATTTTAAACGTCATCTGACACTACTTAATAGGCCTATGTGTATGTATGCTCTCAATGTAATTAATAACTATATAAACTTCTAAGCTTCCAGTCACTAGTACCTATGGGTAGTACACTAGATACAATTAATAGCAGCTTTTTTTTTTTTTTTTTTAAATGAAGTCTTTTAGGTTTTAATGCTCTAGGCCATTTTGATAGTTTTGTGCATTTTTTACTTTTTATTTTTTACAATTTCATTTGTCAGATCTTGTTTTCAATAGGAGCAGCAAAATGCTTCCTGCAAAATGATTTTTAAAAGTGATTGGACAGTGACTTGGGTTTTTAATGCGACTAATCACACTTAATTCAGTGAATGTCCAGTTTCCAAAGTATTCTGTATAGACACTGAAGAAGGTAACTAAAATAAAACTGGATTTGTGCACATATTTCAAAGTTTTCAGCCTTTTTCTCCTGGTAACTAAAATATTCATCACACTTTACCAAAATCCACATTCCTCATGAACATCCAAGTCTTTTCCAAGCAATAGACTATTAAAAAAGGCTTTAGAAAGTTGAAACTATTTCAAACATGCGAAGAATCCTGATCCCAATTAAGTTGGTGGGAGTTCTGCCATTGAGTTCACTGATGCTTAGTTTTATCCTCCAGATTTAGTTACAAGAAAAGAACCATCCTGAAAAAAGTTAACTCTAATTAAACATATTAAAATCGTCAAAGCTGCCCACACTGAGGCTATCCCATTCATTTAATGCATCTAGTAAGTAAGATAAGTAGAGAATGTGTAGCAAGTCTCGTCAGTGACTGCTGGTTACTCAGGCAGCAGTTTAAATTTTAACAGTAAATGTCCTTTTTAGATGAGTCACATATTGCCCTCCATAATGAGAAGCCCTGAAAATACTTATTTTATAAGACTCTATTTGCAGGGAGGCTGTGTCAAATTTTCAAAAAACATTTGAGCAGTGTAACAGTTTTTAAATGAACCTATGCCCTTGGGCTGTATTTATTCCTTGAGGGCTAGTGGGAAAGCAGTAGGTGCTTCGCAATTTCCTTTTCTTTTGGGGGGCGGGAGAGCTGGGAGGAGGAAGAAAGGGGGCATGGAAGGAGGAGAAAAAAAAATTAACAGATAAAGTATGCCTAAAGGCAAAAGAACAGGGATAAGCATCAGCAGTAAGTGGGGACTGTCTGTGTGAGGTGGACCCTGGAGGCTGTGCCAAAGAGGGGTCAAGGGAATCTGCAGCCCCAAACTGGAAGAAGCATTAGGAGCAATGACACTGCAGATGTAAAGAATCCCCTGTGCTTTTCCTGGGCTCCAGCGTACTCCGGAGTTTAGCATGTTTCTTTCTCATCCACTGCAAACCAGTTCCTGAAAAATCTTGTCAAGTCAGATGTTGGGCTTGAGCATCTTAATTTGGCATGGCTCAAGTTGTGGTGAGAGTGTCACAATGCCAGAGATGAGCGAAGGCTGGCCCAGCCAGCCCACTCATGCGGGTAAGCTCAGGACTATGTACAGTTGGGTTTTGAGTATCTCCAAGCATGGAGGCACCACGGCCTCTCTGGGGAAACTCTTGCAGGATTTGACAACCCTCAGAGTAAAAAAGCCTTATGTTTAGATAAAATGTCCTGTGTTTCAGTGTGCACCCACTGCCTCTTGTCCTCCCCCTCACAGGACATTAGCAGTTTCACATAACTTACTTCAAATATAGCATATTCATCATGCTTTTGCTTACTTGGTAAAATTAAAGGACAAACCCAATAGCTTGTAGATCACGGGTTCAGTCAGGTCAGGGGAGCTGGGAAGATCAGAGAGACAGACAAGAAGCACAGCAGTGACAACAGCAGCTAGCTGTACCAAGATCCACGGATACAGAAAATTAGGCAGCAGTCCAGCTAGCCACACACATGCCTAGCAACTGAGGCAGAGGAAATATAAGCAGAAAAGATAACAACTATCTACCCAAGTTGCCCCAAACAGTGTTTAGCCATGGTAAATGTGGTATCAAACATTGCATAGAGTAATACAGGGATTTCAGTGTTTCAGAACAAGGTACTTACCAGCTACTTTTGCCTGCCATCCCAGAAACTAAGGGAGTAGCCTATCCAACATAAAGGGCACTGATACAGAAATTCTCAAGAGAAATGATTAATTGGGTCCAGAATCCTTAGAATACATACCACAGCCACCACTTTGCTATTTCCTGAGCCCTAGCTCTGCATCTTGTGCTCTGTATGGCACAAGTATAAAGCTAATACCCACTGAAAGAAATATTTAGTCAATAAATATCAAGTGATATAATGAGAAATAGAGTCAGCTTTTCACTTACACAAATATGTCCACATAACCTTTGCTGGCTTAAAACATAGAGACCAGTAACAAGAAAATAGTATTTGTACATTATTATGGCTGAACAGCCAAGGTATTAAACCTTCTGGCATGTGAACGTACTTTAGCTTTGGAGTAGCACTAACTGGCCAGTTGATGACTCAGAAATACGCTGTAGGCTGCCCATTAGCTTTTACTGGGCAATGAGCAGATGTTTAGCATTTTGTATGCTTTCATCTGGGAAGGTGCTATTGGGCAGTGTCACTGTAAATTGAAAAGAGTTTAACATTTACCTGGGTTACAGCTAAGATCCTTAAGTGGTAAGAGATCTAAACCATTAATACTACTAAATCATTCAGGCTGGCAACAGCAGGAGGAACTCAGCCTAACTCTGGTTTGGTGCATTAACTAAGATTTCAGTGAAGGAGCTTCAACAGAAAGACATAGGCAAAGTAATGACACAAGTGAAGTGCAGTATTTACATGAATTCAGCAAATTGCAAGGGTTTGGTGGTTTTGTTGTTGTTTTGGAGAGTCATTATTAGAAATTTTGCAAGAAGAGAAGTTGTTCATCAAACACATGTTTTACACGGGAAGGCTCTGTAGCAAAGAGTGCCTGGGAAGGCCTATGCCATATGCAAGGGAAATGGAATGCAGGAATGAAAATGCTATCCCTGCCTATGTGGCTGCGGCTGATGAGGGCTAGATTCACAGAAGCTCAGGACATGTGTTCTGGGGCTTGTATAACCAGCAGGTGAGCCTCTCTTTTTCTTCCCATGCTGAGGTGTGGGAGCCCTGAAGCCTCTAATGGGAATTGTTGCTGGGAAAGGGTCCGTTGCTGCATAAATGTAGTTTCTTAATGTTCCTGTGGATAACCGAGCCTAGAGTTACTTCCTGTCTAATTCACTATGAAGTCTGAGCATCCACGAATTAGTTCAATTCATTATTTAAGCTTGGGTGACAGTTAAGTCTCTTGAGATGTTTGAGCATTATTCATCTTCCATTGTCAATGTATAGAGGAACACAGCAGAATCAAAACCCACCCTACGTGTAACCCTGCTCCCATTACAAAGTTTTTTCCCCAAACTACAAAAATATAAGATGCGCTATTCACTAGCTAATCCTTGTACTTATTTTTTCACACTCCTCTCATGCCTAAGAGAAAGCTGTGTTGCAAGAATATAGCCTTCCGCAGGTTAGAAGAGGTGACCTGCCTACAGTGACTCTGCAGAGACAAGCAGAATTATGTGAAGCCACTTTTGAACCATACTGTATATTCTTCTCCTGACGGTTTAGTTCATGAAAGACTTTACTGTCCTTGAATGTCAGAGAGTCTTATGTTCCAGACATGGACAGTAGCTCCAGCCTCTCTAGCTGGTAAAGGAAGTAAAACCACCACAGACTAATCGGGCAGGCCTTTAAGACTAGGGCTGACCCTTGCAGCTCATATGAAGTTTTATTCAATAATTAGACCTCAAATCTCTGAATCCTGTGGGTACTTTACACTACATTGTATTTCTTCAGGGATGAATGATCCTCAAAATAGGGCTAGACAAACTCTTCTAACCTAATTGATCATTCCTGCATGCTACGCAAGAGATGTTGGGGATTTTTAACAAATAATGAACATCTTGAGCCTTTTCCAGACCTGTTTCCTGTTTGCTTTTACTCTCCGATTCACTAAAAACCTTTGGTATGGGCAGATGAGTACATTATTTTCTCTTAAAGCCTAACTTCATCTGAGATGTTACTCCTTTCTGTCTCATTGTAGGTTCGGAGGAGCACATAATGTCCAAATGAACTCTATTGGCACTTCATTTTCCCGTAGGAAGAAAAACTCTTGTCTGAACCACAAAGATAAAGTGTATATGCTGTTCATTGGCTCATTGTTTCTTTTATTTTTCATGCCCATCCTGCTCTCAATTTTAGATTTATACTCTTTCAGGGCCCTGTGCTCTGCCAGGTTTAGTTTAGCCTGCCAGCTGACCTATGGCCGAGGGTGGTGAAGAACATGATGATTAAATGTGAGTGAATATATTTCTTAGGGGAAGAAACTTCATTAGCCTACTTCCTTAACTCATATTAATTAGAGAAATGACCTAAGAGGATTGTGTGGCACATGCTACTCTGATCTGGCCAGTGTCCCTGAGATCCACATGAATCACAAAGCTACCATGAGCAAAGCACGTTCCCTGACCAGAAATCAAAACTTCTTCTCCAGAAGACAGCTATATCCTGTTCCCTGCTCCTGCTCAGTATTCAGATTCAGACCCTCAGTATCTCTGGTTTTTCATTGTTGTTTGCTTTTTAAATCACTCCATGAATGCAAAGTGTTTGATTTTCTTTTTAACTCACTGTCTCAGGAAGCTCTGAGAGCAGCAGCCAAAAAAAATGAACCTCCTCTTCTCTCCCTAGATGAAAAGATGTCACTGCAACACATCACCTATTTGCGATCAGCATTCTGATCAAATAAGCATGTGGAAAAATGTTTTCTCCATTGTTTCTATCAGCAGGCAGGCACAAAGCTTTGCCCTGCAGAGAGTTGCAAAACAGCTGTGTGAGTGCTTGGTGCTGGGTACAGAGTCGTCCTGTTGACCGCTCACTTAGAGGATGGCCCTGAAAGTGCGTGTCCTAAGCATAAGAACAGGCAATCCTGAGGAGCAGGAATAGCTCTGGAGATTAGAGAACTGCTCTTAAATGCTGACGCTCTGTTGCTACTGCAAAGACCAAGTTCATTTGAGGTCTGGTTACATATGGTTATAGAATCATAGAATAGAATCATCTAGGTTGGAAAGGACCTTTAAGATCATCA